ACTGGCGAGAGAGACAATAGATGATGAACATGTGCGATGCGAGGGGGATATTGAGTGCTGTAGGGCTAGGCCGTGTCTAATTTACGGTGGAATTCGTTAGGGTCTCTCAAGATTCTCGCCCCCTTGCGCTCATGTCTTCCTTTTCCGCCGGTTTTCAGCTTGTGGCCAAGAAATGTTGCAAAGATTCGCCGCCTTCTTCCCCTCAAGTAATTCACCTCATTCTTGCCTCCTCGGTGATTTGTTTCAGACTTAACCTCGCCCTTCAACTTGTCTAGAACAAAACCGCAGCTGCCAAACGGTTCCCACCTTTTGGATTTCACACCTTGAGGTTCATACAAGCTTGATTAGTTCTATTTCAAATGCCCACTAATCAGTTCGTGTAGTTGGTCTAGCTATTTGTGCTTCTGCTCTGTTACTGCCTATTTGAGTGATCCGGATCTGTGCACAATTTGACTCTGTGCCCTATTTGCCTCCTCAGTGATACCTGTGACCAATTTGTTAGAACATTGTACATACGGACATGAAAATTATAAATGGCAAGGAACAGATTAAATTATTGCAGTACGGATAGGGAGCAGGGTAAAATAATTGAAATTCTACACTAGTGCTTTATTTGTTCTAGGACTATCTACATTGTTGACACCGTTGTATCTATATACGGTCTCTTTCTTTTAAGGAAGACCTTCTGTAACATTTTTCCCATTTATCTTTTTATTTTGTTCCAACCAAGTCAAGTCACTAATATCTGCTGCAATTTCACAGACCATCTTCCTTTTATTATTCTATTGCTATTAAAGCAAGCCTTAATATATTTTTTCTGTCTCCTTTTGGGGGTCTATTTCTATCTTTATATGCATAACGTGGTTTTATAAGAGCTTAGGTTTGTTTCTTGTCCTGTGCTTGGTTATAGGGTCCCGATTTTGTTGTTGGAGGAATGTCCTCAGCCAGCTCTTCTCAGTTCCCAGCATCAACAGAGCGAGAATCTACAACTGCTAATGATAATGCAATACCTCATGATCCAGGTGATAACAAGCATATTCTTGTATCGTATCATCTCTCTACACTGAACACCTAGTAAGTTGTAGCCATTTTCATCTGTCAATCTGATCTTCATGGATTCTGCAGGTGCTGATTCTGCTGGACCAGCACAAAGCAGACTTTCGCTTCAGTTGGATCAGCGGTCATTACATTTTTCTGTTAATGCTTGGGTAAATGGCTTAAATGGACAGATGTACTTTGTCAGCAATTACTGTATCACATGTAATTTTTCTATATGTCAACATCAATCCTTGCTGAATATCTTAGTCTTGTCTAAGTTGGTGCATCTCTTAAAAGTGTCAGATCCATCTCAATCTTGTACTCCACCAGATAACTATTTTTAGGCTTAGTTGAATGGAGTGTTAAACAACAGCTCACTTCTGTTAGTGGGATTAATCAGACTAACTACTCCCTCTGTAAAGAAATATAAGAGCGATTGGATCACTACTTTAGTGATCTAAACACTCTTATATTTCTTTACGGAGGTAGTACTAGTCTGAGCATATTTTGCTTTAACCAAGCCTGCACCCTGGCGTTCATGAAAATACCTTCATCTTGACCCTTCATTTGCCTAATGGAAGTTTAGTTTAAAAAAAATCATAAGCGAATGGATGGTCAGGATTATTACAAAATTAGGCATATGTTAGAGCAGATTAACACAGTGTTCTAAGTTTTCTTTCGCCAAAACACCAGTAGTCAAGGATAATTGGTCCTTGGTTTTTGTACGAACAAGATCTTAGTGCCCTCCCTGCATAATTTGAACTGTATGAATGGATCTTTATACTTTTGCCTAGAATTGCATCAAACTATCCATTTTATACTCCCTCCGTCCGAAAATACTTGTCATCAAAATGGACAAAAAGGGTTGTATCTAGAACTGAAATACATCTAGATACATCTCCTTTTATCCATTTTGATGACAAGTATTTCCGGACGGAGGGAGTACTTTATAATATCAGTTTCCCAACTTTTGATAGTACCTAAGTTAGTCTGTGGAACACATAATCTTGTATGCTTTATTTTCACTTGCATGTATTATGATGAGCAACGGGAGATTTTTTGTTGATGTGTGCAAATCACATTTTCTTTATCATACACACTTCTTTTTATAGGTTCTTATTGTTGCATTGATCGGCATCATTCCACTGGCAACACGACAACTGCAACTCAAGGGATATCGTTTGTCACTTCTTGGCACAACCTGTACCACAGGTTATGCCATATTTGCTCTTTATGGGGTCAGTAACATGAAACTGAGTGTGGTATTTACTTTTTTTTTAATTCTTCCTCCCACTTCAGATACCTTGCACAACTTAACTAACATTTACCCTTCCTATCAGCTACCCAGAGTAGGGAACACACAGGCTGTTCAGGCCTGGTGCCACCATGTAACTTCATCAAAGGATTTTATTCCATTCATGTACTGCCTTATGTTTGTTACATCTAAACTACACTTGAAGCGTAAGCATATGAAGTATTTAATCTTTGAGATCAAAACTTTCATGTTACTACCCAAACGTCTCAGCTTTCCTGCACATGATGAGTTAACCCTTTGTGGCAGTTGTTTTGGTACCGGTAATTTGCTGGGCACTTGAACATGTGGCCAGATTTCTACGGCGCCATTTTACCAATTCCTCTCTCTACAGGTAAAATGAACCTGACAGACTTGTAGGCACAACATGTTTTGCCTTCTATGCATACACAGTGCATGTTATCATTCCAGCTTTGCGCATAAAGAATCAATAGCTTAGGCATGATCTCCGTACTCATTAGGTTATTATCTTGGCTTTTTTTGTTATATGCTTTCATCTCTCTGAGCCTCAACCCCTGAAAGTACTCTTTGTTGCCTTTTTGTGCAACGGCTAACAGACCACATGAGCAAGCCCCTGTCCATCAGTAGTCAAACGCAAAAAAAAAAGTTTTATGTGTATTAAAATTGCATGGTAACAAGCCGATAAATGCAGAATAATCATTTTGTATGAACTGAATCTGCTATCAGTTTACAATATTTTGCCCGTTGAATATGCTGGCAAAATGGATTATAACTGTCATGTTGCTAATTTGTAGGGCATACCTGGAGCCGCTTTGCACATGGGTTGAGGCAAACACAACTGCAGTCAACTTTCTGATTGCAAATGCAGAGATTTTGTTGGGCTTTCTTATGATCTTATCACTGTTCTCGTCAGTAGGCCTGCCTTGTTCATTGTGATTAACCCCCTTCCAGTGGCCATGTAACCTTGCATTTATATTGTTCTTTTACTTTTGTAGGAAACAACGCAATGCTATGCAAACATTCATGTACTGGCAGGTTAGTTTCTGATAAACATCGATTGGCTTTGCCAAATGATCTTTCTTGTTTACTGTTAACTGGGTTGTTGGCTTTTTCACACATAATACTATGATCTGTAAATTCTGCCATCACACTAAAATTGTCCAATCAGCTTTTGACAATAGTAAGCGCTCACTGAGTTCTACAACACATTAAACATTTATCACACTTACTTTTGTAATGCGTTTGTATTGACCTGCATATCACCTATACTGGTATACTTGCGGTAGGATACTGGCCTGGCCGCAGGAGGGGGGATGTACCTCGTCGGCAGTCGGGCCTCAGGGGAAGGAGGACTCAAGGAAGGAGTATTGGGATTAGATTGGTTTATGTCTTGTTTGGTTGTTCCTCATGGCCAAGTCCTATTACGTAGGGATGTCCACAAACTCCTTTAATATAGGGGAGGGGAAGCTGATTGCATGGAATCCTAAGAG